TTTGTATCACATTAAAAATTTATATCACATTGCTTTGGAGAATTTTTTTCTTGCTGACAATCAAGCAGTTCTTTAAAATAGCACAAGCAGCATTCAAGAAACACATCCAATAAACATAGATTTCTTCTAAGAATTTTTGTTCATCTTGCTTTGGTTAAAATAGGTGAGAGAGTAATGAAGAATCCAAGAACGGACCCAAAATTTTTGACTCTGACAGAAAAATACAAAGATACTTGAGTATAAGAGAGATGCAGATAAACCTAAGGCTACTCTGAAGATAAATACAGCAGTTTTGGGCTTGGCTGAAGGTTCATACAGGAAAAGGAGACTGTTTCCTTACAGAACCATTCCCCACATTACATCTGAGCTCTCATTAAAACAAAACTTCGTACTTTCACCTGGCAAATCTAACTAAACCCAATGCTTCTCCAGGTCATCTGTCACCTTCCCCCTGCCACACGTGTTACCCCAAGCTCTGCGTGTAAAGGAGTGGGCACCTCTTAGTTCTGCCTTTATCTCACACACTTGCTGTATTAGCCTCTTGGCAAACTTTTACTTGTTTAATTTAGAGGTATGCAGAATCAGTGCAATGAGCCAAGAGGTGCTCAGCAAATGTTATTTGCTGTAGTACTGTTTAAATTAGATAGGAGCAAAGACTTTTGAGCTTAATTCGATTAAATAAAGGCTATTTTATGTCCACTGTGCTCAGTTTAACACTTCTTTTTGAAGAATAGGGTTTTTTTGCAAATGTTTCCATAACAAACAAGAAAAAATGCATCTTATTAGTTTCTACCAGTCTGTTTTATTTGCAAGTCTTGGCAGGCTTTGAGTTAGGCTGGGAAATTCTGATGATTTTGTTTATCAGAGAACTACACTATATCTGTAGCCATTGTATTATCAGTAAAAATAATCTAAATATCTTTTTTTTTTCTTGATGAGTTCACAAAAAGAACTTTAGAAAAAAAGGAAGAAAAGAAGGAAAGAAATGACAGACAGCCAGGCACGTGGAACATGCCTATAATCCCAGCACTTGGGAGGCTGAGGTAGGGAGTGCTGTGAAGCCAGCTTGGGCTACATAGTGTGTTCAAGGACAGCCTGAACTACATGGCAAAGCCCTGTCTCAAAAAAACATATACAAAAACAAAAACAAAAAGGGAGAAAGAGAAAACCTTAATGTGATCTAGAATGAAGAGGATAAAAACTTTATTCAAGGTATACAAGGAATAGTGCTTTTAAGTCAAGAACAGAAACAGAATTTATAAACACATTTTTTTTTTTTACTTCGTTGGTTTTCTAAATCCTAAATTTGCAAAGGAGAAAAATTAGTTTTCTGTCTTGTGATTTTCCTTATTTTACAATTTTTTCTCAGAGCATATCTTCATTTCCCTTGTCCTGGACAGATAAAAACTTCTCAAGAATTACCTACTAATAAAAATTACTTACATTTTATTTTCTTTAAAACTGCTAAAGCAGGTCTGAAAAAAACAAAAACAAAGCAGCAGATCTAGATCATATGAACCTAGGTTCTTTTTAAATCCTGAAATTAACAAAGATGATTTTTTTCTTTTGGTCCTTCTTCTTTCCATAATGGTTTATGTATATTTTTACTATATTATTTTATTTTTACTTTTGTTTTGGTTTTGGGACAGGACCTTTGCTATGTAGTTCAGGCTGGCCTCAAACTCACTGAGATCCTCTTGCCTCAGCCTTCTGTATGCTGGTGTCGCAGGAGTGTGCTGCTTTGCCCACCTTCACATATATTTTTAAATGTACGACTAGATGGTACAAACTTAGAAAGCTACAGAAGACTGTGTGGTTAATGGCCTCCCCACCAGCCCTGTAGAACCATCACTCAGCTCCTTTCCACCAAGCCACCCTTGCCACTTCCTAAGCTTCCAGCGAGCTTCCACACTTACATGTGATATATGGTATGTGCATGTGGGTGTATTCCTATAGGTAAACAGTAATATGCCTTATCCTGTTTTGTGTCTTATTTTAAAACCTGAATTACGTATAACCACATAAAATTTTGCTTTATCCAGTGTCTATACAAATAGCTGCATCGTTCTATAGTACTATATTCCATTGTGTAGATATCCCATATTTAACCTGTTGGATGGATATTAATCATCTCTGCAATGACTTGCAAAGAATGTTATGTAGTAAAAGTGACTACTGACCAGCTAGAAAGGGGGTAAGCTGTATTTACATGGCACCCTCTTTTCTAAACAATAATAGTACCTCCAAAGTATCCACAAAGAAGAAACAATATTAGCCAAATTCGAAGGTTGTTTTAAAGTCAACAAAATAAAATAAAATTGCATTTATCTAAAAAGAGTTCTATGCCACATCAACTCTACAGAAATGCACAGAAAATTTTTTTAAAAAAAACTTTCAATTGCTAATATTCAATTATTGTAGACAAAAAAATTACTTGCTGGCAGTTATGAACTTACCTTTTACAGCTACTTTTAAATTACATCCTAAAGAAAACTTAAGAGAGTATATAAGAATTTGGTTTTCAAACAAAAAATAGAAAGTTAGGATGTGTTGCCGCACCACACTTTTTCCCCCTCAATAAATGACTAAGATTAGTCAAATCTTGGGTGGAATGGCAGGTCCTACATTTGGCAACTCTTAGCATCTGCTTTCAGCTCTGGTCTCAGAGAGTATAAGAAAGATACTATGGGCTCTTCTTTCCACCATCTATACATATTACTACTCTCCAATCCACATAATTTTCCCATTTTATAGTCAAAGTCCTGTTATTGGTGGGGTGAAATAGGGCCTATATGTTTCTTTTGTTCTATCAATGTATTTATTAGCAACAACACTGAAATTATTACAGTGGTAATAATAAGGCATGATCCAGTGACTAAAATGTGGGTGAGTCAAGGTTGTGGGGTTATCTGTATTAAAAGTCAAATTCTAGAGTTAAAAGTGAAAACAATGCAACTTCCTTGATACAAACACATGCAAGTAAGGGAACCTGTTGTTTTGTTGGTGGTGGTGGTATTTGGAAACAGAATCTCATTATGTTGTCCTGACCAGCTTTGACCTATGTGGTCACACTCTTGTGTCAGCTTTTTGAGTGTTGGGATTACAGGTTAAGCTACCACAATCAGCAAAGGGTACATTCTGGGGGTTGGGGAGTACTGGACATTAAGCCAGACCTTTTCACTGAACTAAATCCCCACTCTATTTTTCATTTTATTTTGAGATAGACTCTCACAAAGTTGCTCAGGCTAGGCTCAAATTGCAATCCTCCTGCCTCAGTCTTCCACACACTGGGATTATAGGGATGTGCTACCATGCCTATCTCAGGGAACTTATTCTTAAAAGGAAGCATTATCTCAGAGAAGGCAACTGTTAACCATCAAAGAGATGAATGTTCTTGGTCCTTTTCTATTTCCGCACCCTAGGTTCTACTTCCTTCAATTTCCCAATAATAGGTAGTTTAGTTCTAGTTCTGAGAATTTTAAATATAAAATAATGTAAAAGGCAAAACAATTTTAAAAAGCCAGCTCTAGAAAACTACTTCCAGCCTAGTGTTAAAAACTGGACTCTAAGAATAGAAATTCCTCATTCCTCAGTGTTACAGGTCAGCTCCAATAGTGCCACAGTCTGAAAGCAGCACTCAGTCCTTTTTCCAGTTTCCTAGTCCCTGCCAGATCCCAGAGTCTGCCCGAAACTCCAGTGCGGAACTCTGCCTCAACAACTATTATTACACTGTATGTCAGTTCTGTTCTAAATGCCAAATCAAGAGACAAAAGTCTCTTCTCTTGCAGACACTGGTTGCCTCAAACAGTTCATTTGTGCCTGTTCTTCAAATTCTTCACTCCTCCCCTCTACATATGGTGGGACACTCTGATCAGTCCCCTTGAGGTCACCAATCACTACTGGTTTCAATGACTTGTCTGGAACATAGCCAGATTTCTAAAACCTCTGGGCATGGTTCCTTGGTTACCCAACTGAACCCTTGATATCAGCCTAGCCTGTTAAACAGATTAGGTGCTAAGTCTGTGCCCCTGTCCATCTGACTCGCTCTGCTCTGAATCATGGGAGAAGTGATGTCTGTTATAAAGATTGCTTAGCACTGAGTTCACAGTATTGCTTCAACTGTACCTTTAAACTGTGCTGGCCTTGCACGAGCCCTTGAAATACGGCTGTTTGCTTCCAAAGTATGTTTTTTTTATCTTTTCAAAATTGTTTTTGAAAGGATTTTGCCCTAAATGGGACGATACAGAGGTGGGAGGCTGGGAGGTAGAACCAAGGGGCTCTATCTTGAGGTCACCTTCCCTGCCCCTAGGCAATTTACCTGTGGCTTGAAATGAATTCCAATGGGCTACCTGTGAATGCCCTTTAGGCACCACCCCAAACCTAAGCTATATGTATGTCCCCTCCACAACACATGCCTGGCAGAGAGAAAAGGCAGACCTCAGTGGTCGGGGTTCTCTCTCGGCGTTCTTAAAATAAAGGCCACTTTTATTTCATATTTCTATCTTTTTAGCTGCACCAAAAATTCTATCAGTTTTAATGACTTCAAGTCTTTTAGACTTTCATAGAAAATTGTTATTCTCACATGTTTCACCTTAAAATGTTTCCTGAAAATTTTAATTTCTCTGTAACATTTTCTAGTTTTCTGTATATAGGTCTTGTAAATTTTATGGTGAGATTTATTACTATCATACATTTTAATACATTTGTAACTGATGTGTTTTGTTTTGTTTGTTACCATGAGTGGAAGTACAGCTGCTTTTCAATAAACATTTACTAAAAAGAAAGAAATGTGGCTGTTTGAAAATACATTATAATATATACTGAATTTCAAAGAATCAAGACAAGCAAAGGATTAAAAGAAAGAAATCTCAATTTTTAAATATCGATCCAGTAATGAAGCAGCAATATACTTACTAAAATATATTATTAAACGTCAGTGAAATAATTAATTACATTTATTTTTCTTCAGACACAATAAGTAAAAAAGAAATTATGTTTACCAGGGTTTGTCTTCTCAAGTTGATACCATCGGTAAAATGCTCTTTTCTTCTGTTCACTCAGGTCTGATCCCAGCTGCAACAGCCAATGAGAGATCCGGCTCTGACTGATACCTATGTAAAAAAGAAAAAAAAAAAAAAAAAAAGCTTTTGTGGAGCACTGAAATGACAGTGAAGTTAGTGAAGGTTCTGATGGTTCTTGGTTAAAAGGTTTATTTTTTGTGTCACTCTGTAAGGACAATGCAACTTGTGGCAACGCCTTCATGGTAGCCTGACTATCCTGGCTACGCCATATTCAGAGATTATTTACTAGTGGACAAAGCATTTTATTAACCAAGATTTTACAGTGGCCTTTGAATTAAGCTCCAAACCAGATCCATGAATATGGGATAAGTGGTGAAATTCTGAAATAATTATTATTCGCCAAAAGCTTATCCTTCATGTACTGTAGATGGCTGCCACCTTTTACTGTTCATGCTGACAAAAAAAAGGAGCTAGTAAGCCTAGTATGGTGGTACACACCTGTAATCTCAGCATTTATGAGGCTAACCACAAGGACTGCTTTGAGTTCGAGGTTAATGGACTACACAGTGAGTTCAAGCAACCTGGACTACATAGTGAGACCCTGTCTCATAAATAAACACATTAAATTTTACAAAATTAGGAACTAAGGAGAGGTCACTGAAAATACTGTCTTTAAAGAAGGTTTTTGACATATTTGTCAAATCATTTAGGCATGTTTAAACTCTATCATTAGTATAAAAAGGAACTGGCAGACTTTTAGACTTATGCTGCACTATGAATTCTGAAGAAATGCCAGCAGCTAAAAATGTTCCTCTAACACATATACTCTCCCACAATGGAACAGAATATAGTTTTCTGCTGTCATTAAAAAGCTTTTGGTAACAATTAAAAATGTTAAGAATCTCTACATTGAAAATGAAAAAAAAAAAAAGCATGTCTAAAATTTAACTAGTATATGAAATCACTTTTTTTCCTGGTCATTATAGCTATTTCAAAAATGAATAATTTAGTACGAACTGGCAAAAGCAGAGAGTATGGGGAAAGTTCACAAAGTGCTTTCCAAAAGACCATTCAGCTATAGAAGAGAGCATTCAGCAATAACTTAAGCCCTCCAAAGCAGTTACTTATGGTAACTGGTTATTACTGAATACCACCTGGGCCAACACCTGTTTAAAGTTGTAATGTACAACAGGAAGAGTGGCTACCACAAAGTAATCACACTCCTAACAGGAGAAAAACCAGGAGGTTTGCTAATCACATTTAATTCATTAAAAACAAGCATTAAAGGTTCACACATTTACAGCTGCTTGTTAAAGAAAATTTGAGGAAATGGGGGAAGAGTGTTAAAAGGAAGACTGTAAAGTTCCCTGACAGGAACTTTCAAAGGGCAAATTTCAAATAGTTTTCTAATAGTTTTCAAATAGTTTTCTCAAGTAATTCACAGATCAGTTTTCCAGGGGATTAAGGATCTATGCAACACAGGTGATGGCAGCTAGAACTGTATACTTGTTCTAAGAGAATGCTAATTATTCCAGGCAATTAAATCATGTATTTTAAATCATGTATTAAGTCATGTATTTTTGTAATACTTTCACCAAAAGTATAGTTTAAGACATTAAGGCATTTTTAATATTACTTTTAAATAAGAATTTTAAAAAGCAATTATTTATTACTATGAAATCAAAATTGATTTTCGATCCCCAGTACCAACCCCCCCCCCAAAAAAAACAGCTATTTTAATGCATTCTTCATGTTGGTATCATATAACTAAAAAAAAAAAAAAAAAAAAAAAAAACAAAACCAGGGCATTTAAAGAAAGTATGTTAAGAGAAAAATATGTAGCAGTTGTTTGTATCAATATAAATGTTTGCTACACAGTGAGATCACACACAGAACAAACCACAGGGCCCAATAGCTATGAGAGCTCTCCAGGTTCTGCTATGTTGTGGAGAAAAGGTAGCAAAAATCCATGAAAAGGAAATTATGGTATCTTTAAATAACCAAAATTAATGTTTTAAAAAGCTATTAAATAACTAAAACAAAACCAAAAAACCATTAATACTAAGTATATGGAATATACAGAACTCCAAAATGGCTTTGGAAAACTGTTGGACCATATCAGCTAAAGCTAAACTTGCGTATACACTGTGACCTAGCAAAGTGTTTACTAGGTATACACACCCACAGAAACATTCACATATATAAGAGAAATGTGCAAGAAAGCATGTATGAGAAGGTTAACACAATGACTACTTTCCACACTAGTCTCCAATTAAAAAAACTAAGTGCCAGACCTGGGAAGATGGCGGAACACTATGTTGCAGAGTAAACAGCCTCTCTGAGAGAAACAGCCCAGATGCTGTAATAATAGCATTCTGGCGAAGACAAGAAGAAAAGAAGTGGGTCCCCTCAACCCAGGAAGAAACAAAAGTGAGAACTGAAGCCCACAGAGAGAATTAAAAAAAAGAAAAACTGAAGGCAGTAGCTGGCAGTGCTTTCACCAGAGCCATTTCCACTGTGCCAGAAGCATTGTTGGAACCCGGAGATGCACAGTCACAGTGAAGCTGGTGGCTGGCAAGCCCGAATGCCTCGGTGGGGAGATGGGGTGGTGGAGGGGTGCAGTGGACCAGAACTGAACTGGCTAACAGTGAGTGTGGGGGACTCAGTCTTCCCACAGGAGTGGGCTATTGGCCAGGTACCATTTTGGTGTTGGGCAGGATAAGCCTGGAACCAGAACTGCAGCTGGCTTCATTCAACTGCTCGGAGGAGACTGGTGGAAATTGCCTGGACTGTCTGGTCCAATAGCCATTGCTAAGGTTTCCCCTAAAGCTATCCTCAACCAGCTCCACCCACCCTGCTTGTACTTTATGCACTTTAACCTGCCCAACCCTTGGTGAAGGCTCCCTGCTGTTACCCACCCTGAGAGGGAGGAGGCAGCCTGCCCCACCTCTACTAGTACTCCAGTAGATACCACCATGGGTTCAAAAAGGCAAACAATCATAGTCAACAGCAGGAAGTGCAGGGGACCCCACTGCCCATTTGTCTGGAAACCAGAAACATGAAAAAAGAAAGAAGCAAAAGGCAGTCTCGGTTTCCAACCCAAGCAGTACTGATCCAGGAGATGTAAACACAGAAGAGACTGGGAATCGCATACCTGCAGTTTCTGAAGCAACAACAACTGAAGTAAAAAAACAACTTCAGGGGCTGGGTATTTAGCTCAGCGGCATAAACACCTGCCTTGCAAGCAGGCAGTCGTGAGTTTGATCCCTGGTACCGATAAAAATGAAAAAGACAAAAAAATAAAAACAAAAACAAAAACAAAAAACAACTTCATGAGGCTATTAAAGAACTTAAAATAGAAATACTATGCCAGGTACAAAAAAAAAAATCAGAAACCTAATAGAAGAATTGCTAAGCACCTCTAAAGAAGACACAAGTGGAAGAACAGAGGAGCACAGAGAAAGGAGGGAAACCTTCAATGAAGAATATAAAAAAAAAATTAGAATGCATGAAACAGATTCAAAGAGCATACCAGGAAATTAAAAACTCCATTGAAAGCTGGAAAAACTCCTTGAAAGAAACTAAAGATAGACTATCAAACTTTGAAGACAGGTTTACAGCTAATGAACGTGAAAGGAAAGATCTCTTAAAAATAACAAGGAACCAGGAAGTAACAAGGCTACAAGATGACAAGAGGAAGTATAACTTAGGAATAAAAAATGTGAGTGAAAAAGCAGGGTAAGGGGATTTAGCTCAGTGGCATAAGCGCCTGCCTTGCAAGCAGGCAGTCATGAGTTTGATCCCCGGTATCAATAAAAAGGAAAAAGACTTAAAAAAAAAAAAAAAAAAGCAGGGTAATCACAAATGAAATACAAAGGCTATTTATAGAAATAAAGAAAACTTTCCAAGCATAGGAAAAGGAAATGATATTCAGATAAGTGAAGCATACAGAACTCTACACAGCTATAACCAAAATAGATCTATACCCAGACAGAATAATCAAGATCCCAGAAATTCAACACAAGAACAGAATATTAAAAGCAGTCAGAGAAAAGAAACACATCACCTATAAAGGAAAACCCATTAGAATCACGACAGCCATCTCAGCACAAACTATCAAATCAAGAAGAGCTTGGAGTGAAGTATTCCAAGTCCTGAAAGAGAATAACCTCCAACCCAGATTGATGTACCCTGCAAAACTGTCTTGCAAAATTAATGGAGAAACAAGATTCTTCCACAACAAAGAGGAACTGGGGGAGTTCATGATCACCAAATCAACCCTACAAAAAATACTGAAGGACATTCTACAGAGAGAGAAAAATGACCACGATTTCAGGAACAGTGGCAGAGTGGGCTCACTGAATGGGACAGACATTGGAATGAAGGGGAAAAGTAGACAACCAAAGGCAGAAAAACAGCATAGCAGAGATCAGAGATAAGGCAGAGAAAGTTAGCCATAATCACTAAGATGGATGGCCAAGCAAAGTGGATCAGGAGATAGGATCCCTCAATATGCTCTATATAAGAAATACAATTAACCCAAAAGGGGGTTTATAGATGGAAATCAAAGATGAGAAAACAATGCTCTATATGACAAGGAAACAAAAAAGTGTGGGTAGCTTGCCCATCAGCTGCAGATTGGTTAGAATGCCATGACACTTTTATATAATGGAAAACTACTTAGCTATAAAGAAAGGAGGCTCTTGTAGGTAAATGGATACAACTAGAGATCATGCTCAGGGGTAAAATGGTTCAGAATCACTTAGGTGAATAATGGGTTGCCTCCGTAATATAAAAACTAAAGGAGTTAGTGTGATCCAAAATGTACAATACATTCTGTCAAAGTGAAAGGGGAAGAATTGGTCACTGTTAATTTATGATCATGATTTGAAATCCATATTGTTTTCATTGTTTTGTTTAGTTTGGTTTTATTCTGTTCCAGTTTGTTTAATTGTATTAGATTTGATGGCATGGACAGCTATTCCAAAGATAGCAGGATATATTATGGTAACCATTTTTGATTTCCTATTAACTTGATGTGAAGTCCTGTATTGCTTTCATTGTTTTGTTTTGACTGATTTTAGTCTATT